TTACCTATATCAAAAACTAGCTCCCAATAAAGTTAAACTAACATTCAGAAAAAAGTTTTTTTTTTGTAAAAAGTTTGCTGTTGCGATTTTTTCTTTGAAATTTTTGCCAGGGTTGTAGATTTGAAGGCCCAATATTCTAAGGAGAAAAAAAATTAAAACGACCCCTTTAAAAAAAGTAGGGGGGTTGGGTACCTTTTAAACTTTTAACCTTTTTGTAAAAAACGTATTTATAATGTTGGATTTGCGCCATAAAAATGGTGTGCCACCCGTTGTCATGGGTTCACCATGCCACTGATAAAATTACACGTTAGTTTGGAAATGTATTTATTAAATTTAACGATAATTAAAAAAATATTTTTTTAAGTAAACAATTAACAAAAAATTAACAATTAAAAATAAACACTTGACGATAATTATTATACATATTTTATAAACTATTTAATTTTGTAAATGTTCAACATCTCCTCCTCCTTCTTGAATACAAAAATATAAATAAAAGAGGTAGTTTTTGCAGGGACAGCTCAAACACAGCCCTAGGCATACCACTGATTTTTATATGCGTTTTTTGTACAATAACTCCTGACCTATTCTTAATTTTGTTAATATGTTAAGTCCAGGACGGACGAATTGCTCTAGAAATTCAGTTAAAAAATTGTAAATAGCTCGTTAACTAAGAAAGATACAAAGTTCATTTCTCTATACAAAAAATTTAAAAATTCATATTCTTTTTGATTTTAAGATTGATAAAGCAAGTTTCTTTATGTCAAAAAAATACGCAGGGGTTAAAGAGTACCCAAACCCTCAACTTTTTTAAGAGATCCGCTTTAATTTTTTTCTCCTTAGAATATTGTGCTTTCAAATCTACAGCACTGGTAAAAAATTCAAAGAAAAAATCGCAACAGCAAACTTTTTACAACAAAAACGTTTTTTAAAATGTTAGTTTAACGCCCTGTAACTTTGTTAGGAACAGTTTTTGATATAGGTAAATATAGCCAAATCCACTAATTTTTTGGTAATCTATCTGAGGAAGAATTTATGACATACATTTTTGAAACACCCTGTATACTTTTTTAAAATTAGTTACTAGCTTAGTCAATTTTTCCAGATATAAAGTAAATAGTTTTAAGTGATTTGGTCGATAATAACAAAAACGAGATTTTTTTGACTTGGTCACTTTTGGCGGTAAGCCAAGGATATCAAAATGATTTACACACATAAAGAATGAAAATTTAAAGGTAAAACACGTTTTTTGCATCTAATGATTTAGTGCATGATCTAGCTGCTTACGATCTTTTGTCAGAACACCGTCGGAATTTACTCACTCTCTTGAATGCTCCTCTACTTATATAATAAATCTAGTTGATACTTTTTTTTAACTATGTTCAAAAGTCATTAAAATAATTTTTTCAAAAAAACTCAATAAAAAGAAACTTAATTATAATTTATTGCAAATGTATCCAATACGGTCCTGTCCCTAGCTAGAACTTTTGTCGAAAAATATTGACACTCTTTATAAATAAGTAACATATCCACAAAGTTCATTGTTAACTAAATTTTAACGCACAATTCCGGACCCGGATTTACATTTTTTAATTCTGTATCTTTCTTATTATTAAATTTTTTTATAAAAATTGTTAATTATAATGACTTCTATGCACAGTTAAAAAAAGTATCACCTTAGGAGTCACCCTGTATAATATTATTCTTTGAAGTTGCGATGAAATTGCACCTATATTTACGTCGTTTATGCACACTGAACTGTTATAACATGTCCAAAGCAGTCGTCTATATATATTCTGACATATTGTTGTATCAGACAATGCAAGCGTTTTAGATCGTCGAAATCCGTTCAAACAATAGCAAGCTCAATGAGGAGGAGGAGGTAAGGGCAACCGAATTTATAACGGCCACACTCCACATTTGACAGCGAGGGCGTTACTAAGGATTCTGTATCATATTTTGATAGTTGAACGGCATGAAATAAGTCTCTAAATTATTTTATTAACATATTTCTACTCGAGACTAAAATATGAGGAAAAACTATATGTAGGGTGATATAATATTAAATGGGTTATAAAAATTCAAACATATCGATTGTTTATTATCGGTACGCAGTGGCGGCTTGTAATAATTTAAAAAAAGTGTTCACTCTTTCTATTAATTTTATCGTTTGCAAGTTGGGTTCAAAACTTTGTACAAGCACCAATATCGCTGTTTTTTTTTAATTAGGTTTGTATTAAGTGTAGTTATTATTATCATCATCATCAGTATCATAATGTGTGCACTACTATTAATGAATAAATGAATATTCTATTTATTGTTATATTTGTTTTGTTTTTAATACGTTGAAAACCATTTATAAACATTGTCAGTTATAGCCAGCTGACTTTTCTTTTCTATTAGGTTATGTAGAAACCGTGACGTTGGTTCCTATGTAAAAAAATATTATTATATGAAATTTTACCTACCGTTTTTCAGTTTTCTTGTAAATTAAATCATTTTCACAATTTGTCACACATGTCAAATAATATAATATATTTTTTAAATACCTTTTATTGGCAAATAAAACAGGCAAATTAAAATGTTTATTTTATGAGATCAGTCCCATCACAATACATAACATTACACAGATACAAACTAGAATGAAGATATATAATGCGTGGCATTCTAAATTATACTCTTCACAGTTTAACAAACCCCCTTAACTCTCATTTTTAATCAGATTTTGTTTCAAAATCAATAGGCTTTGTCCCCTCGTAGAGCTTATGTTTTGTTTAAAATTTTCAAGTTGATATAATTTTTTATTTTTGACTTTGTGCAAACAAGAAACGTGACGGACAAAGTAAACCTATAATACACTTCACAGACTACTATGTAGAATAATAATATAATCAAGGCTAAAACAATAACATAATAGACTAAACAATTCGCACAATAAAGAAATTATAAACTCAAAGTTTTGAAAATTATTTACTAGGTAATCAGTACCTCGGAGGTAAACTGCATTATGTTATTCTAGTCAACTTTTTAGAAGAGCAAACTGAATGTTGTTTGGAGACTTTTGTTTTCTATATTTACATATATCAATTATATTTAGTCAAGAAATGCAGTTATCCCCAATTATTGTTTAAATATGTATTGTTTACCAATAATCTAACTATTACTCCTTTCATTTCAATATACATGAATTGTTAGTTTCGTGTGCGGATACTTTTAGTATCGTCATAGCATCTCCTCTTTATTTTATATCAATGATTGGAAAGATTCGTATGTCCCGCCCTACTTTGTGATGTCACTATGTGTGTTGCGTAAATTAAGGTGATTTAAGTGGTTTTATGTTTGTTTCACTACTTCTCACGGATCTATTATCGTGTTAACCTCTCTTTTTAGCTACAGACTTTCGCGAAAACATCTCGCTCCTTCGGGCTCGCTTCTAATAGTGCAACACGGAGAGGCGATTAGCCAGAGCGCAGTGGCTTACCCAAAAATAGAGATTAACACGTATGAAAACAATAAAATTATTAAAAATGAATTTATATTTTTTGTTATTTTAAAATAAAATAAAATAAGCGATATAGAAAAATATTTTGATCAATTAGAAGATTTGGAAGAGGAGCATGTGAAAAGTAAGAGAAATATTAAACATCTCTCTGACAGTGAAAAAATTATGTTCAAAAATATTTATGAAGGACTCTGCTCTGAACTTCCTGTATCAGAGGCTATTAGAGAAACTGTTTTCTATTAACTAAAGTTCCAAATTCAACCGTCTATAAAATAATAAGAGTTACATCTACATCAAGAAGGAAGAGAAATGATAGTGGCACTTTTAGAACAGTTCCTGTCTTTTTTCGGCCAAATAGTTTTAATTTTTTTATAATTTATATGAAATGTATGAGGCAAACATTTTTCTAACGATAGAAAATATTTTTTCTACACCCACATGGATATTTGCTTATCTACACACAGACTACAAAACGAAAAAGTATACTATTGCCACAACTGAATGAATACATTTTATATCCATTCTATGTGGTGAGAACACTGCAAAATAATGAAATCCATCAATCACAGTTCATATTTTGGTCACCCGACGACTATTATTTTTATAAGTTTAAATAAATGACAATTCTGTCAAACTAATTGTCAGTATATTTTTTAGTTATTGAACTTAAATATATATTAAAATGACTTATTTTTGGGTAGAATCAATAAATAATAGCATTTCTATTTTTATGTATGCTATGATTATAAATAATTTGTCATTTTAATAAATCTCTATGAAGTCAATTCAATTAAAAGTATCTGCCTTCCACGCGAGAAACCCAAGTTCGAGCCTCGGCTGGGGACTTTCTTTTTTCGTTTTTTTTTTCGTTAATTTTATTTCAAAAATTATTAAAAGGCATAAATTATTTTAAAATTAGTTATTTTGTCGGAATAACCTAAAGTATTTTTTTTATTTGTAAATTTTCATTAGTATGTCGTAGCAAAAATATACTGTACAACTCGAGTGGATTGTCCACATCGCACTCAGATGATTGAGCACTCCGCCTACGGCGTCGTGCTCAAATTTCGTCTTCATGAGATATGACCATCACTCTTGTTGCACAAACTACTATTTTAGTTAGTACGTGATACTAATAGCTAAACTGAACACCTAGTCCTCTCATAAAATAAAATTTCAGCTCTTATTTTTATTTGACTAGTTGTAGGAATTTTTTAAATAATATTTAATTTTACTTCTGCAATATGTATGTATACATGTTGAAATTTAGTGAAACCCTTTTTGACTGAATGTAAATTAAGACGTTCAATTTATCCTATTTTAAGAATAAGGTATTATGTTCCTCTTATATTCCTTTTTGCAACAGTTAATGAGCACACAAGATGGGTATATTTAAAAATCCAAATGTGACTTGGGAACAAAACAATTCGTCCAACTGATTGGGGATGGTTTAAAAATAAAGAATTGTTACATTCACTTTAAATGGTAAATATTGTAGTACCAGAAGAAATAATTAAAATAATGCAAGCATCAGAGATAGAAGCTTTAGAGATGACATTTTCAGAAAAGACATTTTCAAAGATGGATATCTCAAGGATGGTGGTGAAGTATTTAGAGAAAGGAGGAGTATCTTAATAGTCTTTAGAGTGTAAAAATGAGGCTGTCGAAACTCAAAGGAAAAACTAAGAACCTCTTAACCACAAAAGTTAGAGGACTAGCAAAACATGGCGACAGGAACAATTAACCTAAAAGTAGAATTTATGATTTACCATCTTCAATATATTTCATCCTTTGCAATGGATCCATGACAAAAAAGAGAGGCCCCCGATACGCTTCCACTGCTTCAACTCCATCTTACCGAGAAATATCTTCCATAGGCTATATAAAGTTATAACAGAACACATATCAAATAGAGGAGCTGGAAGTGGCAGGTACGATTCGTATCTACACCGAAGGTTTTAAAACAAAACAAGGCTCAGGATGTGGAATATACTCCAGATCTTCAAACCTAAATATAAAATTTGCTGTGAACAGTAGTGGTAGTGTAATTCAAACCGAACTCACAGGAATTCTCATAACAGCAAATGAAATCACTACGTGAAGAAAAATGCTGATCAATACAGGTAGCAGACAAGCACTACTGACCCTGGACAGACCAAGAATTTACTCACAGTTAGTAATAGAATGTCAGGAAGCTTTGGCTAAAGTATTCATCAACAGTGTGGTCAACTTAAGATGGATCAAAAGTCACGCCACATCGAAAGGTAACTAGCCAAGAAGGGCGCCAACTAAATACTATTTGGATCTGGCCCTTCTATTAGATTGACAACATCGGTAGTGACAAACCAAATTAAAGAAAATTCTCTTGTGAAATTCAAGAAAAGATGGAATGAGACAAGAAGCTGCAGACTTGCCAGGGACCTTTAAACTTATCCTAACAACACTACAGCAAACAAATACTTGACTCTGACTGGACATAATCTACTACTGATCACAGGCATTCTGACTGGTCATTGACAAGTACGAAAGCATCTCCATATCATGGGTCTGTCAGAATCCGCACGCTGTAGGGGGTGTAAACAAGAAGATAAGACAATCAAGCATATCCTTTACGATTGCCTGACGCTCTCATTTATTAGAAGATTTGTGTTCGGCGAGAACTGGCTAACACCTGCCGTTATGTGATAAGCACCTCTTGGCGACGTTGTCAACTACATTAAACCTGTGGGCTGGCTCACGAGCTAGGAGGTGCCTATCTACTTAGGAGGATCCACATAATGGGCCTAGTGAGGTCTGGGTGCCGTGGGTTAGCCCGCCCTCCACACGTTACAGATATAGATGGCAAAAAAGGTTAAATAGAGAAGCAGTTTTAAGGTGCTTATTCTTATTGTAAGTAGCGACGTAGTCACTGTTATGGGATAAAAAATGTTTTCCCACAAATAACATTTTCAGATAACTCAAGTGAAAAATTATTTGAACAAATTTTCGATTATGAGATGGATAATCTTTCTTTAAAAATAGCCAATTTACAACTGTACATATCCAGTGCCGGTTTTATACATCTTAGATTACTGAAATTATATAGTATTAAAAAAAAAAAACAAAATTAAAAAATTCAAAAGTATTATATTATATAACGTCACAACATCAATAAACCATAATTATTATAATGGTCAGAAGCAGCTATAAAACTAGTACGCAAACACAAATAATAAAATAAAACAAACAAAAATGATAAAAATAAGATCAAAGAAAAATGGAATGAAAACAAAATACCAGTCTAAAACATAAGTTTCCATTCTTGTTTTCTATAATATTATCTTAATAAGTACTGTCACTAATACATTAAGGAAATGTTGAAACTAAGTAAAAATAAACTATACAAATAATAAACAAATAACGAAAAATAATATTGCTCATGCCCATATTCAAAAATATTGACATGTTATGTTTAAAACAAAATTTTGACTATCATTTAATCGACACGTTTCACGCTACGCACTTTATTAGCTACCACGCAGATAGAAAAGTTGGGCGTCTCGTCGAAATGAACCTTCTCACGAAGATTCATAAAAATCGGTAGTATACTGTGGATTAACATGTAGAATCTAAGTATAAAAATACAACAGGGGAGTTTTATTTACTTTTACTAAAGTTGCTTTCTCGCTTTTAAATTTGAAAAAGTTTGAATTATTTCGTTAGTATTTAATGTTTTTAAAACATCTGAATTTATTGATAATACTGCTAAAGAATTCAACTTTTCTTGTGCAATTGAATTGCGAAGATACGTTTTCACCCGTTTTAGAGTAGAAAATGTACGTCTCCACTGACATTCCTTACCATTCTGAAAAAAAAAAAAAAAAAAAAATCGGAGGCATACATTTAAATTTGGAAAATGAAGACGTAAGTTTATTTTTATGTAACAATTTTACTAAATCGTGGGGAGATTCAACTTTAATTTCATCGTTTAGTTCATTTAGGAATTTTTTGAAATGAATGCATTCTTGAGGAAAATGCTCATTTAGGTCTTCCATATATGTCTTTTTTTAATTTTTGTGCATTTAATACTATAGCTTCCTCACTTAATTTTTTTAAATTAAACAAAAATTCGAAAAGAGCTGAACATGTTTTGTACACTTCTATCCAAAATAATTTCGGTATTTGGTTCCCCAAAAAGCCTCTTTCTTTTAGTGCTTCGCCGTTTTGTGTATTTTTCGTTGCCAGTTAAAGCTATTCCTTTGGCTTCATATTGATCAAAATCGCTTCTTAAATATTGAAAGTATTGGGCCAATGATGATGAAAGGTTAGATGTGGTACTTATATCCATATTTTCTTGTTGTAAAAGTTTTTCGTTTTCTGAAACTTTTATGAACCGAGATAACAAGTTCCATTTGTATGAAGATGCCGTAAAAAATGTGTAAATTTCTTGTACCATCATAAAGAACGCCGTAGATTCCAAACAGCAGTCTGCTGCATTTTGTACAACTAAATTTAGCGAATGTGCTAAATTGTTTCGTGCCTTAATACGAGCCTGTAACTCAGAGTATTTTCCGCTCATGTTGCTCGCATTACCGTATGACTGACCCCTACAGTCTTTTAAAGGTTTTTCCATTGAATTCAAAATATTCAGGACGGTATCTTCGAGTTCTTTCGCACCATATCTAACGTTTTCTTGAAACCCCACAAGCCGCTCAACTAGTAATCCATTACTATCACAAAATCGCAATATAATTGTAAGCTGGTCATGTTGGGTTATATCTGGCGTAGAATCGACGCTTACTGAATAATACTTATTAACTTTCATTTGTTCCACTATTTCCTTTAAAACTTCATTTGATAAAATCCCTATAAACTCATCGCAAATATCTTTTGATAAATAAGAAACAGTGCCCTTTCCACGATTTGCAAGTCTTCTTATATGATCTTTTAAAAAAGGATCATATTCAGACAAAAGTTCAATCGCACCCAAATAATTGCCTTTATGATCTTCGCCTATCTTTTCATTACTACTTCTAAATGCTAACTCTCGTGTTGCTAAAAATTTTATAACGCTAACAATTATTTTTAATACGTTATTCCAATACTTCTTCGCTACGTTACATTCTTTTTCAAGTTTATCAATTATTTCAGTAGTAAAAGAGCAGGCAATATATATATCCTTAGATTGTTTAAATGCTCGGATGATCGTTCATGTTCATCAAATATTTCTTTATCCCTATTCCAGGATGAAAAACCTCTTTTAAACTGGTTGACTGACCCACCAAATAACATACAATAAAGGCAGTACACATTACCTGTGCTTTCAGAATATATTGCCCAATCTCGACGTAACATTTCTCCATTCTCTAACTTTCTGTAGAACATTTGTTTATTTGTCCACCTGTTTTGTCCTTTAAATGGCCTCTTGGATTTGGAAAAATTACTTTGTTCCAAATTCTGACCTTTCCAAGACTCTAGCATTATTTTAATATCTCGACCAGTGTTCCATAGGGCTGGATCTTTAAAATCTGGTAAAATTATTTCTTACTAGTGCTCTGCCTGCGCACCGCCCTATTACGATTTGCCGCCCGGTACTAAAGTCCCAAATAGCACCCATGTAAAACCGGCACTGTACATATCAAGAACTAGTCATATGATAGAATTGAGCCTGTGGATGCTTTATTCATATTTTCTCTTTTTCACTAACCACTTTTATCGCAAGTGGGCATCAATTATTAAAATGGGTTATTTCTTTATCATAGACACATTGACAAATATGCACTATTGCCTATTTGTGTTAAACATTTTGATGGTTCGGTCTTAAACCTAGATCGTACTTTAAAACCATTAACTTTGGCACAGTCGTTTAGAATCAATAACTTAAAACTAACTAACGAGTGGACATTCTTTTTCTCTATATACATCTCTGTTTCTCCCTACAAAACTCGCTTCGGTCCTTCTGAAACAGAAAACAAAATGTCGAGTACCTCGTCTAAACGGAAAAAAAAATACTTGGTAGTTTACTCTTTTATATTCTGTCCATATTTCGAATGGAGAAAGAGAAAGAATGGAGGCCTTTTTGAAAAGGGCCGTTATGAAATTTTCCATGAAAACAAATCACTTGAAGTGCGGTCGGTTGGTCAGTCATTCCGAGATTAAATTTAAAAAAACAGTTTACATTCTGGTTCGGCTTCATTAAAACTCCTTTCAAGTAAGAACAATTTGTATTTTTGGATTCGGCTCGAGTGGCACTTCTCGAGCGTTGCCTTTTTCAATGGATAAAATCCTCGGCCCTCGGCCGGCAGGCGGCAAAACAAGAGCGGTTTGGTTTTAATTTTTTTTTAATGTATGATTATGTACACTGAAAATAATTACTTTTGTGCACGACCGGGCGATAAAGTCCAGATTATAAATACGTTTAGCGGGCGTAAAGTGTCACTTTACCGCCCGCGGACTACTTTACCGCCCGCCGGGCGGTAAGGTAACTTTCTTTTTTTTCTTTTAAAAATTCACATGTAGTTAGTAAAACAAACTTTATTATTAATATTTATTATCATGGAAATATTTGGTACAATTAACAAAACATGAGTTTAATAAAGAAATTATAACTTTAAAAGCCCAAACATAAGATCCTCACACTTATAATTTTATACTAA